CCTCCGTGTTGGAACTATCCGGCTGCAAGGAGCCTCTTGGCCTTCTCCTGATCAGCCATCAGCCTTTCAGTCTCCAGCAATTGCTCCGCGCTGCCTGGTGTCGTGGCAGTGGAAGGCCCTTCCGCCTCTTCCACCACGATCCACCCAGACCTCACGGCCACCGAGTCACTGGCGGTTGCCACTGGAGCCCCATTCGCTTCAGGCAGTCCCAACTGCCTTCTAGCCAGCGCCACAGCGGGGGGAGTGCCTCAACGTTTGCCTGCCCTTCCATTGGCCTCTGACCCCAGGGAGAGAATCCTGGTCTGGTCCTCAAGTTGGTGTGCCCCCTTCCAGGCACCCATCCTGAGCGTCTGCTCGCACACCAGCTGGCGATGTGCCCGAGCACCATGGTCTCAACCCTCAAAGCTGGCATCGACACTGGTTCGAATAGGAAACGATGGGTTCAAGCTCCTTTCACTGGAGCGTGTGTGGCAGCAGGAGGGAATGAATCGCACAGCATCTCCTCCTCAACAGGAGGCCATGGAGACCACAGCTCAACGAAGAGAGAGAGAGAGAATGCCGAGGTCATCGGGGGACTCCGAGACCCCAGAAGAGCAGTGGCCCGTTGCAAGGAACTTCAGCAGGTGGGGCGGCAGATCCGACAACTTTTGGACCAGTCGCTCACGGACGACATCCTCACCTGTTTTGAGAATTCGGTTGATGAATGTCCTTTTCCGGAGTGGTTGATTTGGAAAGCACGCTACAGCTTGACCCGGCACTTTGAAGCTGAGGCCAAGGATGAAGGCTACCAGAGCGACCTTCTTCGACAGTTGTTGACACAGGCCAAAGACCCTGATGCCACTGTGTTGCCGGCTTGGATTGAGGACGGCTTCCCCATCGGAATCAACCAGCAGATCACCTACACAGGTGTGTTCCCCAGGTCCGATGACCTGACCGCGGCTGCCAAAGCCTCTCAGGCCTTTGCAGTGATGGATGACTGGGACGGGAAGGCACAGAACTACTCGTCTTTTGCCGACGCCGGCGACAAGGCTCAGTGCGAGGTGGATCGCATGGTGGAAAGAGGCTGGGCATTGCGCAAAGACACCTGGGCAGATGTGGTCGCAACGGTGGGAGACGCTTCACTCACCAAGATGGCCTGCATAGTGAAAATGAAACAAGGGCGGGAGAAGGTTCGAATCATCGTGGACATGAGACGCTCCGGGGTCAACGGAGGCATGTCGGTTCACGAGCGTGTCGTTCTCCCCCGTGCTTCTGATGTCGCCAAGTGTTTAGGTGAACTTTTAAAGCATGCAGGTAGACACGATGTACCGGAGTTTTATATCATTGATTTTTCCGACGCATTCTACACCTTGAAGCTGCACCCATCGGAACGATCGCATACCGTGGTGAAGGGCAACGATGGTCGGTATTACATTTTACTTTCTGTTTGTTTTGGACTGTGCTGCGGTCCCCTGGTTTGGGGCCGTCTGGCCGCCGCCCTCCTCCGCCTGGGACAGGCGACCATGGAATCTCGGGAGGGACGTTCCCAATGTTACGCGGACGACCCCTTACTTGTTGCCATAGGACCATCCACAAGAGCCCGATCCGCGGTCTTTGCACGGGTGACGCTTCTTTGGTGTTGTTTGGGCGCCACCCTGGCTTGGAAGAAAGTTCAGCGAGGTCCCAAGGTAGAGTGGATCGGGGTTGCTCTCCATTTAGAAGGGGAACGATATGAGACCCTGAGAGTGTCCCTTACCCCGGAGAAAACCCAACGGTTGTTCGAACTGTTTCAAGAAATCTTTGAAGCCGGCCGAAACGGGATGATCTCCACTCGGCGACTCTCCCAGGCAGCGGGCATCATGGGATGGGTCAGCAACCTGGTCCCGGTGGCAAGGCCCTGGACCGCGGCGTTGTGGGGGGCGCTGACGACGGCGTCGCAAGAGGGTGCATCCGTCCGGTCCACGACGCGTCACCGGAAGGGGCTGACGTTCTGGAAGCAGGTGTCGTGGGCCATCACTGGATTGCGCGCGATGCTGGTCGTCGGGGCCCATCGTTCCCACGAGCCAGTGGTAAATCTCTCACCCATCCTAGATTCCCCAACTCCCATTCCTGAGGTCCCATGCTCGTTGTCGAAGGTGTTTCTTTTCGGAGACCATTTGCCCCTGTGCGAATTGTGGACAGATGCCTGCCCCGGTGGGGTTGGCTCCTTCATTTGTTTCGGGACCAAACCACGCGGGTTTTACATGCACCAGCTCACCGAGCAAGATGCCTGGTGGGTGGACCAGAGGTGCGTGTGCAACGATCCGAGCTGGCAGTCGGAATGGGAGTTGTTCGCTGTCCTTTTGGCATTTCGTGCATTTCACAGTTTGTTGAAGGGCGGAGCACACAGAGTTTTCCTTCGTTCCGACAATGTTTCAACCCTTCTTGCTTCCCTTGAATTTAAGGCACACAGCCCTGCTTTGAATAGGATCGCAGGTGAGCTTGCTCTCGAAATCGAATCGCTCGAACTTGCCCCGCTGGAGGGACGTCATGTTCGAGGATTGCTCAACACCGATGCGGACGACCTCTCGCGAGGCACTGTGCCTAGAGCACTCATCGGGGTCGAGCGGTTCTCACTGACTGAGGCAGCGAGGTTGTTCAAGCGATGTGCATGAGCATGCTTGTCGAGAGTGTCTGAGAAAAGGATTCCGTGCGGTTTCGTCTTGGGATTTTCTTTTCTTTGGGGCCTCCTTTAGGGTTCCAGCCAATGTTGTCCAGCCTCGGAGTGAATCCACTGCCTCAACGACATTGCCCATGCCCAGCAGAGTCCTGCCAGGTACTCGGCAGCCTTTGAAGTCCTCCAGACCCACTGATCGTCCAGCGGGTCCCAAACAAACCCAGTCAGTCCGCCAGGCCGATGACGATGTGGCCGCACTTGCTTGCAGGTCAAACAAACAGTCTTCATCCACGGCGCAGACGCCATGATGCCCGTAGGTTTGACTGTCTCTGCCCCGTATGGGCACTGGTCGAGGTGCACCAGCTCTGCGTGCATGCACTTCCTCAGTTGCTCCATGATCTTGATCGACCATGCGTATAGGAGTCTTTGGGGTTCTCCATGCTGAAGAACTTGCCTCTTTCTGTCGCCCTGAAGCCCAGAGCGATGGTTCTCTTCAAGATGTCGTTTCCTTCCTCTGCAAGGGGGTGTCCCCAGCCTTCTGGATGTGAGTCTGAGCGCACCTCCACTGCAGTTCCATACTGGTCGGACCGTCTGGCCCTTGAGAAGGATTTGCACGGGAATGCAGCATGTGTCCAATCTGCTTCGTCCACGGCTGTGCACGCCGCTTGGAAGCCCTCCTCCGTGCGAATGTCCCAATTGTCGTAGATGTCCTTCGGCTCGAGGACCTCGACCAGGTCGCCAGCCAATTCTCTCACGGCTGTCGACAAGCCACCCATGCCTGCAAAGAGCTCGAGGAATCTCAGTTTCCGCATTCGCGGATCCAGCTGTGAAGGCGTCGTCTCGTCCACGTCGTCCACGATGCCAGCTTCGACCTGCGGCCGATCCGCTTGCTGTGTGTCCTCCTCCATTGACGAGCTGCCAGCACCTTCGTCGTGTCACTTCTTCCACTTGTTCTTGCCGCCACCTGTACCATCTTTGCTTTTGCCAGAACCTTTTGAGGCCCTGGGACATTGTGCATTCGGGTGACGCCCCAAACAAATCTGACAGGCATGGTCTCGCCCCTCCTTGCAGGGCTCTGGGCAACTGTTTGCCGGGCCCTTGGCGAACTTGTAGCAAATCTCGACCCCGTCGGAGTTCGTGGAATAGAGTCCCCCTTTGGCCTTCTGATAAGGCTTTCCACCTGAGCTGCCGTCTCCCTTCGAATGGTCCCAGGAGCTCCACCCATGTGTCGAACGATGGTGGTCCAGGGACGTCTAAGGCACGAAATGTACCGTCTTGCTGAAGCAGCCATGACCTCGCCTTCATCTGCTTTTGGACTCGCCTCCCATACGGAGTGAGGACACTGAAGTCCGCGTACGGGCTTTCGCCCCTGTCCACCACCCTCGTCTTCAAGGCAGCTATTTGCTCTCCAGTTGGCTCTGCATCCGCTGGCGGGTCTGCTCCTGTGACCTCTGCGTGGTGGCGGTAGGCCTCGTCCAGTTGAGCCTGAGTCAACAAGGGCACATCCGACTCGTCTAGTTGGTCGATCACTGATGCGGCTTTCACCCTCTTTGCAGAGGGAGGTGAGGTCACAGAGGCTCCAGCTGCAGGAGAAGAAGGACTGCCACTGCCTAGGTCTGCAAGCGGGTCCACATCCTCCATGCCATAGGCTTGACGTGCCACTCTCCAAACCAACGCCAATTGAATGGCTTCGACAACTGACAGTTCGCGAGGGTCTCCACCTGAGGTTGAAGCGATTCGCACTAAAGCCAGGGTCTCTTTGAAAGCACTGGTGGCGATGTTGGCCAGCACACGCAAACTTGGAACTTGTCCTACCGCAGTTGGCCAAGCGCTCCAGGCAGGATCTCGCGACCCAGCCCATCGTCGAGCTTCCTCAAGGGTGGTGATGCCTGCGAGCTCGGAGGCGGTCGGCAGAATCGATGCGGTCATTCAAAGCAGCAAAGGCACGCAATGTCACCGGCGCGATGCCGATGTCAAAGGCCGGAACTGGCCGGCAACACCACCAGCCCCGAATCCACCAGCCACTCAACGCACCAAAGGCCCAAACCACGAGCAGGAACAGGGCGAAATCATCCATCGAGGAGGTCGCACATATCCCCCTCTCCTGTCGTTGGGCCCTTGAGCCAAAATGGACAGGAGAGGGGACACATCAACTCAAGACTCGACCACTCCACCAAGTTCCTGCTTAAGTTATTACACACAAATAGGATTTGTTACGCTAAAAACAATAAAAGGGTTGTTTTTTTTTTGGGGGGGGTACCATATATATATATATATGCATCTATATAGATAACTATATAGATGTAACTATATAACTATATAACTCTATATATATATATCGCGGTCTCAAATCTGTCTCTCCCACCTCTTCAGAGCGAGATGGCATCAACAGCGGGGCACCTGGGCAAACACCTTGGTGGGCCATGTTGCCTTCTTCCCCACAAGGTCTTCCAAGCATCGCTAGTAGGCTAGTAGGAGCAATGTTCGCTACTAGGGGCTCCTGGCATCGCTACTAGGAGCAAGGACGCTACTAGGAACAAAGGGCATCGCTACTAGGAGCTCTGTCGTGTACTTGCTGCTTGTGTTCCCTGTGCGATGTCTCTCCTTTGCGCTCACAGGAACTGTTCAACCTTCGCTCATCCAAGACACCACAGGTCAAAGGGCAAATGCGACGTACTCGTTCGCCAGATGCCCAGTCCTGACTCATCAAATACACATAACAAGAGTGATCATGTGTGACCAATCAACCTTACTTTTCCAACTAATTTTAGTACCTCCAACTCATCATGAGTGTTCATGTCCTTGCAATTCGGCCGCAACTGACTGCAAGAAGACCTCCAGCAAGTTCAAAGCAAAGAACGCTCTCAAAACATGTCATATCATACCCTTCAAAGTCTCAACTCTTCTTAGTTCTGCAGTCCAGCAGTTCGTTGACACAAAGCACCTCCTTTTGGTGCCCCAAAAAGAAAGGGTATGCAGTATGAGGGCCAATGAAGGCCATCCTCCGAGCGGCATCGACCCATCTTCCTCTTGGAAGGTGGTGAAGTCCAAATCGCGGCAAGACGCGGCTCCACGGCAGTCCGAGACGTTGCACGACTTGGGGCCTTGGAACTGAAACTGGAGCGCGTCGTTGAAGCGACGCAGGGGAAAGATTCGAAGCGAACGGGGGGGGGGAAAAGGAACATGTTGAGGTGAACGAATGAACGTCACACAATTTCTTTTTCTCTCTCTCTCTCTCTCTCATTTTGAGATCAAAACTCTTGATCAAATTCTTGGTGTTGGTCTTGAAAGTGTCATGATGCTTTGATTTGCTGTATTCTTTCCAGCTGAGTTCCTCTCAACCTGCAAAGCTACAGGAACTCGTTCCATCCGTTCCGAAACCGAAGCATGTTCTCCCGTCACGCCGGCGGGCACATGGCGCGGATCGCCTCCGCGGAGGCACCCCGTTGGCAGTGGGAAGCGCCTCGAGGAGACGGTCGCTCGCTGATGACCACTTGATGAGCTGTACTACAACCAAATTAGACTCATGACAATAGCAAGTCTAATGAAAATCTTGCTGAGAAGCTCATGGAGTGGCACTCCAAAGCAAGCCCTGTGGTTGCTACGTCGAAGCAAGCATCTACAACTCCTGCAGAGTGCACTCCAAGATCATGCTGAGTCGACATCAGGGTCCTTGAAGTATTTTTCAAGTCATAACAAGTCATGCCATGTTCACATTCCAAAGTATGACTGAAAACATAAATGCGCTTTGAAGAGGCTGTCGAGGTGAAACATGGTGAGGCTGGGTCTCAGAAAATGCTAATATAGTAATTAGAAAAAACACAGCGAGTCTCCCACCTCTGCCAAGCAATGCCGGCCGTGTTCGCACTGTTAGGGCCCTGGACATTGCCGTTGGCTCGACTGCGGTGCTTTGATCCTCGCCCTCCTCCTCCTCCACATCCTGTGGCCAAGCCGACCAAGACTTAGTTTGAAGATCTGAAACAAAGGGCAGGTGGTGTTTAACAGGCGAAGCACATGGTCGAAGAACTTGTTCTTTGCCCTTTCGTGCTCTTTCTCTGAAGGGAAACAGTCACATGCCTTTGTAGTGATCTTGATCTTCTCGTTGAAGGCAGCCATCTCGCGACGGACCTGGCCCCTTTCAGCCCATCCGCTGGGCTTGGTCAGAGAATGTGGACAAACGGGGGTCGGAAACTTTAACAAAGGCATGCAGTTGATAATTGTTTGTGGCTTTATGTGGGATTGCCATGTTCAGCAAAATCCTACAATCGAAGGGTTGCAATGTCCGGGCACGGGTTTGCATTCGTTTCGTTCACCCATTCTCAACCTCTTCCAGCTCTGATAGTGCTATCTTCACATCGCCATTCAGCAGCTCCAGCTTTTCCTGGAGAGGCCAAGAGAAAGAGAGAGAGAGAGATAGAGAGAGAGAGTTGTCGCTGCTATCCAAACACCTGAGACCTACTGTTGTCAACCATATGACCCTCAAGAGGTCCAACCATCATCCAAACATGGAATCCATGGGAGTCAGCGACACTCTCAGCTTCGATCAACACACTTCAAGAACTGACAAACCATTGAATACATTGAATTCTTATAGCTCTCTTTTTGATGCAATGAGTTCTTCCACACCAAAAGAACAAGAGAGCTATAAGAATGGCTGTTCGTCAGTTTACTCTTGATTTTCCTCACTAGGAATCCCATCCCAAGATCATCGGACCGCTCCTCGAGCCGCTGCACCTGCTGCCAGACTCGAAGGATCACCAGGAGCGAGCCCAGTGAGATCCCCACGGCAACGAAGTTCCAGAGACGTAAGAAGAAACCCAACACCTCAACAAACTAAGCAGAAATGTCCTGAACATCTGTGAAAATCAGGGTTGTTTAAAAAACGATTGGTCCAAAAAATATGTGTTGTTTTGCGTCCTTAATTTCTAAGCCACATTGTAGGCATGGACCCCATAAAATGGACCAAAAGAGCTGGAAAGCAGAATAACGCCCTTGAGGGGTCGGTTGCACACGACGCCGTGAGGCAACAAACATCTACGCATTGGCCAAGTTGCCGAGTTCCATTGAAGGCACAAGAGCTGCCGCTTGCCGCTCTTGCGGCGGGAGATGGAGGCCATGGAGCATGGCACATCGTCCGCTGGTCCGCCAGAACTACCAAGCACGAGGGACAATAACTGCGAAAAAACAAAATGGACCAGCACCGTCATCATCTTTAGTCACATCAGGGGTCCGATGTGACCAGGTCACATCAGGGCCACATCAGTTTACAAAGCGCTTACGTTTTTCCGATTGCAAGAATGTTTGGGCTGCACTTTGGATCAAGACATTCCAATTCCGCTGCGGAAGCGGCGGCAGCAGCAGCAGCGATTGATTTGCGATTTTGGTGCTTGCATGAGATGCGGGTGCATGTTGTATAGGGAGAGATGCGTGTAAACATGACACGCCGTTCACTTTGAGAGACACGTTCGTGCGAGAAGCGCTGTGGTAATTTTAGAGTTCTCGGATGTACACTGCAATTTGGCAGGGTTAACAAAAGACCTACTGTAATTCTTCTGACATGTGTTGCGACACATGGTGAGACAATCAGATTTGCGATTTGTTCCGACACATGCGCAGCGGAACTACCTTCTGGCCTGGTTTAGAATTCCAGATGGCAATAATTCAATCATTCCTGGCGTACTTCCTTGCATTCTATCCGATATATATAACATTATATAACTGGTTTCAGTTTAAAGCATTACCACAAAGTCACATCTTAACACCTTTTCCAACTGCTTTACATTTTTTGCCTCTTGAATTTCACAACGATACAAAAATGATTTTTCAGAAGTTCAAAAGTGAAAAATGTAAAAAATCACCTTTCCAAAACTAAAAAACGTGAATAAACAAAGCTGACATGCAGCACAGCTGACAACAAGCACAGCTGATAACAGCAGACAACGTACTGCAAATATTGCGCTTTTTGCTGGCATCTATGTTCATGGTCTTCCTGTCAGACTATCTGGCATCTACACTGACATTTACTTGGTTCTTTCTGTCGTAAATTCTGAGCTATTTGACCTTTATTTTGGCTGGCATCTATACTTTCGTGAATCTATCCAGCATCTGTTCTGACATTCTTCCTGGCATTTGACTTAGCGTTTATTCTGCCATTCTTCTTGACTCAACATATTATCTGGCGCGCATTATGGAATCTTCCCGCCATTGTATTTGGCATGTACTTCGGCATCCTTTTTGGCATCTTACCTGGGGTCTAGCCTTGCATTTACCTGACATTCTATCTGGCGCATACCCTGACATCTTATTTGTAACATGTTCGACTTCAATTTTTGCAATACTTTGTGATTCTTTGCCCCAATGTATTTGGAAGGTGTTCACTATTCTGCAATTTTCTGAACGCCCTCATGTTCAGGTCAGCGCGTGCCCAGACTGAGCTGGGTCTCCCTATCGCGCACGTTTGCTGTGGGAGGAAGAACAGGAGAAGCAGTTGCACCTTTCGTAAAAACACCCTCACCTGCAGGTGCGGAGTTGCGCAGTCTCGCTACGCGGGGCCACGTCACCAGCATCAAATCATATGGGATACTGGCCGTTTACGCCGGCGTCGAATTGTAGAGGCTGAGAAAATTGCGAATTGTTTTTGTCGGGTATATTGGCGCTCTTGCCTGCTCGCATCGTACAAGATCCGAACGCTATCAAACATCTGGGGCTGCGCGAAAGCACCAGCGGCGTGAAGCGGATGTGGCGCATTCCAGGCGGGGTTGGAATGAACCACAACCGCGGCGTCAACAGTGGCAACTCCAAGAATCTTAACGCATGCTCAAGTCCAACTGATTGCCTTGAAAACCGGAAAGCCTACAACATTTGAACTCCTCCTTTCTACTGGGAACCTCTACAGGCGGGGACATCATTTGGGCGTTGCATTCTTTTCGTTGAAATACGGCTTTCACTCCACATCCGCCTGCTGGTGGCATCCCGGCGTACGCTGGCAGAGTTGCTTCCACCTTCGCAGGCCTCTGCTGCAAGACCCGGCCCATCATGCGGAGGGGCTGCCCCCCGTGCACGCTAGTCTTGCGCAGTAGTAGGCCTACCCTGTCTCCTTGCCACGCTTTCTGTCGCCGGTCCGACTTGACATTTCAAAACATCTATGAATCTGCAACTCTTTCAGCTGATGGGCTGAAAGCTAATCTTACCAACGCTGCAATTGAATTTTCTTTGCGGCCATGACTCCTTGGCGTGGAGCGGGTCCATTGGTGGGGCGCTTGCGGCGGCCTCCCAACGACAGAGCTCGCCAGGCTTTGCACCCCTCGCCCCGAAGTTGGCCGAGTAGGCGGCGCTACCAACTTCGTGGCTGAAGCGGCACGCCGGGTGCTCCTTGTCCAAAGCTCCGTTTGCACGTTTACGTCAGTTCCCATTGATATGTATACCATTGTATACCACTATTTCCAAAATTGAAAGGGAAACCAAGCAGGTTAGAAGAGCCCAAAAACGAAAGGGGCAAGACCTAAACATGTGAAAGGTAACCATCTCTCCTCTTCTTGTCAGTCATCTTGCTAGCAGCAGCAGACAAGCAGCGGACAAGCAACGGCAGCAGCCAAAAAGGCAGCAGCAGCACACAAGCAGCAAGCAGCAATACAAAAAGCACCAGCATGCGAGGCGAGGTCCAAAACTGGACACCCCAGACCAAAAGCCATGCCAAGTGTAGAAAGCGGCGAGGAACTTTGCAAAAATTGAGGCCTGCATTATTGTAGAACTACGGCGGCATAAACAGCATAGACCCCAGATAGCAAATAGATGTTGTGGGCAGCGCTGCAGCGGCGGCGGTACAAAGGCGTAGACTGCCACTGGCATCTGGCAGCAACAGTGCAGTGAAGCTGCAAAGTTTACACTTGCACAATTGCACAAGAATTTGGCAGCAACACCCTCCAGTGGCATCAGTATCCAAGCTCCAAAGCGCACACGGCCATAGACATCTCGCAGCTGCACTCTCGAGGCACCCTGCAGCCACACCCCACAGCGGCACCAGCAAGGAGGTTCCAAAATGCACAGGGCCAGCAACATCTGGCAGCGGCACCTTGTTGCGCCACCAGCATCCAGCCCAAAAAACCGAAGGCTGCCATCATTGTCTGGCAGCAGCCCTCTGAAGCAGTACCAGCACGCAGGCTCCAAAGCACACACGAATTATCATAGACATCTGGCAGCAATACGCTGCAACGGCACCAGGCCACGCACCCTGCAGCGGCACCAGCGCCCAACCGCGCCCTGCAGCGGCACCAACACCCAGGCTCCAAAGCGCACACAGGCCTCTTCCTATACTTGAAGTAAGAGCCCCAGCAGCTCCCCCAATAGCTCTCACTATCTGGGGAGAAAAGGTTGCCCATGTCAACATCATCGTAAACCAATGGAATAGCTAGATCATGTGCATGTTGCGTGTCCTCAAAGGCATGGAATAATGAAAACCGATGCGACTTCCCGAAGAGCTTTCGACGCAAGGAACTATGGATGTTGTGCAAAATGATGCGACTAAAGTGTCTGAGAGTACATTTTAAACATGTGTACTTGGTATGTCTATGATTGTTTATGCACCCCTTGCACAGGTTGTTCTACCTTTATCAACTTAGGGGGCACCCTGCGAAGCTTGTGTGGGCTCCGGGTATGTCCCGTTTCAATGCCGCTAGCTTGGTGTGGCAATTTCACAATTTCCACTATGGCGGTGTCATGTTCAGCTATGGAACCCTCCCCTGAGTTGAACTTTCTCTCTCAGCTGCAAAATGTGATCACCACAGGTGCTGAGTATCACCCCTGTTAGTTAATAAGCATTCCTTACAGAATAACATTATTTCCCAAAAGGCTTCTGCATTTGCCAAACTCCGTTGTAGTTCTCAAGCCGATTACTTGTTGCTTGCCTTTCACATCCTTCACAATGAAAAGACTCGAAGCTGCTGCGGCAAACGAACTCGGTTGCAGGATGTTGCTCTTTCCGCGCACGAGGACAAGTCGACCTTCATCTGATCCACAGAACACTTTCATACTCTGGGCCTTGTCCCTGAAGCTAGAGCGAGCACGAAAAAGCTTTTGGGAAAGAACCCCCCAACCCACATGCAGGACACTTCCTGCCTGCTGGCAGCCTGCCAACGACAGTATGGATCGTCATGGAATGCTTGCAACTGACTCCGTACACGTACAATAGGTTTCATCATGTTTCATCCTCTTGCTGCACTGGCTTAGGTCTCCTAACATCTGCTCTGAGGAATTTCTGCCGCACAAACAGCCCCCGTCAAGAAGTGCATCGCTGGGGCCTCCTGAATGAAGACAAAATTGCCACCCAGCAATCTCTCAATCCTGCGGTCAGATCACACTGAGACTTGCCTTTCCTTGCTGATGACTGGTTGAGCCCTTGCGGTCTCTTGCTGTGGCTCTGACGTCTGGGCGCAAGCTCCTTTCACCAGGTCAATGCTATTCCTAGGCGCAGAATAAAGCTTTGAATGGTTACTGGTATATATATATATATTATATTGCATGTATACCACACCAAGCTTCAGACTAACATCGCATACAACAAAAGCTGAAATCCTCTCCACTTCAAATGACTGTTGAAAAAATTACGCACTGTAGTGGGGAGAGATGTCCTCATATCTATATATATATATATGTTTTTTGATTATTTTTGTTCAGGTTCTTGTGGTCCGTGGTCAAAACTGTCTTCCAAGCTTCTTCCTGAGCGGAAAGGCCTTCGGATCCCACCTGCCAAAGGGCTCCATGAAGAGTAGCAGATGGTGCGAATCGTTGTGCGAAACATGCCGGCAACACATCCGGTCTTTGCGGAGCAACGCTAATCTGGCTGCCTGGGCCAGCTGCCCGGTGCCCTTTCTACTACGAACTCCAAGATCTCAAAGAGTGTTTGACTCGTGACCTGAGGTCCCACAACGCTGCCCCCTCCTTTACATCCCTCCGCCATCTTACAATGCGTGCTCATGCTTTTCTCTGATCGAGTCGGATTAAAAGCCCCTGCATGTGGCCAGGAACTGGATGAACTGACCAAAAATGTTCAATGCAGTCGATGCATTAAAAAAAGTGTATATGCGATATTCGGCCTAGTGGGATCATATTTCAGGCATTGAACTTTGAACATCTTTGAACCATCTCGTGCCTCAGGAGGGAGTCCCACTTCAACCCGACCTGCTTCAGAAAACTGTTCTTTCACTGCGACTCT